TATATGTATTTCTTTTAAGTTAGAAACAGCAGGATTCTCATAAGGCCACATTTGGAACAACTTTAGCTAGTCATCCAAATGAATAAGCTATTTCTAGCAACAACGAAGCTGCAACATGGATCTATTAAGGATAGCTGGATCCATGACTTAAAGATAGCAACCAGTCACTTGAGGGGGAAAACAAACAAACTCATCTGTTACATGGGCCAAAAAAAAAAATTTCATCATCTGGGTTTGCTTTCTTGTTGTGCAGATCAATGGAAATGTGCAGCATCCCTACCCCACCACTTCCTGCGGGCTCCTGCCCAGTCCATAAGCTTTACATTGCAATGACACAAAAAAGAAAAATCTTTGTTTTCTAGGCTCTGGGAAAGTTTTACAAATATAAAACCTCCATGGATTAAAAATTCATAAAAAAAGCAAAGATAATTGACCTGGTTTGCATTTCAAGGTATCATATCAACTGCTTGATAGGAGTGTCTTTCATTATTGTAGTCTACAAGGGAATAACAAATTTGAGCTTCAGGGGATTTTTTTTGTTCCAGTACAAAAAAAGAAAAAGAAAAAAAAAAAAGACGTAAATCGGCATTGAGTGGGGGCACAGCATCCACCATATATGCTCATGGGATGCCACCACATACTCATCCAGCAAAAAGTTGTGCTCGGTTCAACTTTTGCGGGAAGGCAATGTGACATTCTTTATCAAAGACGCCGTAGTGGTCTATCGATTACATGAAGATTCCTGGTATATTACTATCAGAAATGAACAGTGTTTCGAGTTTCTACCGTTTACCTCACGATCATCATGACTAAAGGTAGGATAACTGTCGGATGATAAAATTCCAGGTTGCAAAAGAGTAATATACAATGCAGTGGAGAATTAAGATATCTGATGCGACTTTAAACTTCACTTACACTAGAATCCCAGATCCTATTTCATGTCTCACTTGTACCTGAAACAACATGTCAACTACAAGGCACCCCCTTGTGTTGTTTTAACACAGGACTGTTTCCAAACTCAAGGCCTGCTAAGGCATTGGTAAGCAAAGTGCTGAAATCTGCAAGTGCTTCCTCAGCTTCTTCATAGGGCGCACAAAACAAGTCGAATATCAAATTTTATAACACACAAACTTGAAAGGAATGGGTTTTTTTTTTAGAATTTAAGGATAGTAAACAATGGCAGGGAAACCTATGGTATGTCTGTGCACATACACAGTTGACTACTGTTTAAAATATTTCGTCTAAATCTTTTAGATGCCAAACAAGTAACCTGATGTACTACCATGGCTTTGTGGGTAAGTATCTTAAGCATCATTTGTAAAATTAGGACCAGCTGTTGAGGTTTAAAGCATTACCACGTAAAAATGTCAAAAACTGACATCATCTCCTCAGCCAAAGTTCACTAAAATTAATAGCAACCCCAGCTACCCAGGATCTCTCCCTCCCCATCTACTAATTGCCCTCTCAATCCCTCGTAATCCTGATGGGAGAGATGGCCTTCGTAGAGTGACGAGGATGGGCCACCTTGTTGGACTCCATGAAGTGGACTGCATCCTCGAGGTTTAAAAACTCCACATAGGCCGTATCGTAGCTGTAACCTGGGGACAGCATTTGAAATACAGATGGGCTTTTGTTAGTCAATGCCAGTAATGACAGTCAACCACTAATACATGAAAGACAGCAGTTGATGAACACATCGAGATCAGTGTAAGCGAAATTTTACAACTTTACTGATATACCTACCTTTACAGGAAAACACATTTTAAGCATTTTCTATTCAGTTTTCAGATGATTCATGCCATATCAGCCATGAAGGCTTTAATAAAGCCAAGCATTAACTGACGAGTGGCTGTGAACAACTGCATGGTGTGCACCATGGAGACAAAGTTTTGCTCTTCGTTTTTATATCAAATTAAACAAGGTACCTAATCATTCTTTCTGTGATAATTTGCATTGATATAATTATGCAAGGTTAACACCCTTTAAGACAATGTTCACAAAAAGGCTTTGCATCAGGTATAACCACATGTACAATGATCCACAGAGGAAAGTCTTCACTCTAAAGCAGATGTTTAAATCAACAGGATGAACACAGCACTAACAAGGCAAATTCCATTGCAGGGTTGTTAACATTTTGTCATTCAGTGTAGTTAAAAGAACTGTCCCTGCAGGACACATTCAGTGAATCACTTGTCACAGCTCTTTTGTGTTCCACACTGAATATCACTCTCCAAAGCTCCGAATAATGCTGACAATGACCCTACAACCACCAACTCGAAAAACGATGGCATAACAGAACCCCACCCCCCTCCTCCTTTCTGAGCGAGTTCACACAGACCAGCAACAACAAAAGCAACCAAGAACATAAAGAAAAAAATGCGGCCATTTGAATGTCATACAAAGCGAAATGTCGAGGGACATGTTTGCGATCGATTGCCCCACACAGTTTCACTAAGAAACTTAATTCTTACCTGGTACAACACCTTTGACTTTCATCCCTTGCATTTGCACACCATCACGGACTGTAAAGGCACCAAGAATCTGCAAAACAATATAGCAAACTGAGGGAGTTAGGCCATGGCTGTTTCTACTTAGTAATACCACCAACACCCAACCATAACTAACACAAAGTAGCTTTTCTTATTATTTTATTATTACCTGCTCCACTGTGGCAGTCTTTGGAATACCAATTATAGATATTGTATTAGAAGCTTTGTTGTCCACTGATGCACTCCTGTAATCTTGATCCTTTCACAAATATTTTGATTAACATGAAAATAATGAAATGTCAAAAACACTATAAAAACAAATATAATTCTTAAACAAATACTAATGACAAAGAAAACCAAACACACATACCTGACAACCAGACTCACTAAAATTTGAAGGATCAATTGGTTTAGACTCTTTTATGAGTTTCTCTGGTACTGGAAGCTCCCCGTGTTTGTAATCGAAAGCCCTCCCGGACCCTGTTCTGTAATCGATGTCCCTGTAGTCTTGGTCCCTTGCCTGCACGGTGCTGCTACTTTGGAAATCGGGTCCTGCTGCCATCTCACCCCTAGCAGGTTCTTGATTGTGTGGGATATCTTTCATCTGTTTAAAACAATCATTTGGCTCCTGAATCTCATGAGAGGCCTGATTCTTATCTTCAGAGTAAGGTGTCCTTTTGTCACGATGTGGTTCATTCTGACTGTGCTTCGGATCCCTTTCTCCAAGCCAGTGTTTGTCCTCATTTTCTCTACCAAGAGGTCCATTATGGGGACTTCTTTCTGTGAGTGGATGGTCTGGAGGCTCTTTGGTGCCAGCTGGTGGTACATCGGTAGTAGGATAGTGGTCATCATGAGGAAAACCAACATCTTTCTCTGGGAATTCAAAAGTTAGCCTTTCCCTTTCCTGAAATGGTGGATCTCTAACATTCACATCTCTGCCAAAACCCAGAGGGAAGCTGGGTTCAGGCACACCCCCCAAACCTTTACTCGTGTTCAAGAAAGGGTTCTTGTCTTTCTGACGGTTCTTCCATTCTTCTGCAAGAGTCATCTCTTCACCGCTCCGGTAATCCATAAGAGGACTGTTACTTGAAGCTGGATACTGACTCTTTCTGAGAGGGTCTTCTACACCCATAAACTCTGATCTTTGAGGGCCAGCAACATCTGAAGTCATGTCTGACTTCACCCTGTCCACTGAAGAAGCACCGCTGTTTCCAAATCTTAAAGGAGATCGATCTCTACCTCTAAATTCAGCCGATTGTCCAGGACGATTTCTAAAATCCATATCAGAATCAAATCCACCTCTTGGATTGAAAGGTGGACCTCCTCTTCTATCACTGTCCATCATTCTCTTTTCATGTGATAAGTCCATATCACAGCGATCAGTGTCACCAATGCCCATTGGTGGCCTATCTCGCATGTCCCTAAATCCATCATTTCGCTCCATGGGAAACCCTCTTCTTCCATCAATATTGGGATTGTTGAACCGTTGCATGCCATAATGAAATGACTCTTTCTCCCTCGTGTCCATGAATCTACTGTTTGTTTCCCGTGGTGGCATACCCCTTCCTCCCATGTCTGAGCTCCTGCCTGGTCCCGGAAAACCAGAAGAATTCATGAGTTTGTCTCTGATGGTCATTTCATAGTTTCTTCTAAGACTGAAGTCTGGCTCTTGTCCAGGTCTGAAGAAATCTCTGTTTGGCCCCCCTCCTCGCATATCACGTGGGTCCAAATCACACCCCCTAATGGGAGGCCCATCCATTCTCCTCATATTCATAGGTGGCAGATCTAGAGGTCTTGGGCCCATATGACCCATGTTCATCCCATCTCTACCTCTAAAATCAGGCATGGGACGGTCTCTGCCCCCAAACATTTCGCCACGATGATCACCACTGGAATAATATACAGTAATAGGTTAGGCTGTTGATTAGTTTCACATGCACACAACCAAAGCTTTTACAAAATAACACAAAGGGGAAAAATATTAATTTCATTTTCAAAATTGCCGATCTAGTCACTATATAAAGCAGACATATAAGAAGGATGGGCCAGTATATAATACGAGTCAACAGCATATACATCAAAGGAGGAGACTCCTCAAATGCACAAATGTTACATGCTTTATGTGGGTCTACAAATACAGACACTCATGGTTAAAAACTATGCCCACTTACAAAGAAAGAGTGGTCTATAATTTTTATGATAGGTTTATTCTAAAGGATAGAGACAGGATATCAACAAAAAAGCACATCATACAAATGTTATAAACTGAGTTGCATTTCAGTGAGTAAAATAAGTATTTGATCCCCAAGCAAAACATGACTTAAGTACTTGGCGGAGTAACCCTTGTTGGCAAGCACAGAGGTAAGATGTTTCTTGTAGCTGGTCACCAGGTTTGTGCACATCTCAGGAGGGATTTTGGTCCACTCTTCTTTACAGATCTTCTCTAAATCCTTAAGGTTTCTTGCCTGTTGCTTGGCAACTCAAAGTTTCAGCCCCCTCCATAGATTTTATATAGGATTAAGGTCTGGAGACTGGCTAGGACACTCCATGACCTTAATGTGCTTCCTCTTGAGCTGGTATGTTTGGGGTCACTGTAATGCTGGAAGAGCCATCCACAATCTATCTTCAGTGTCCTGGCTGAGGGAAGGAGGTTCTCACCCAAGATTTTACAATACATGGCCCCATCCATTGGCCCCTCAATGCGGCAAAGTCAGCCTGTACCTTTAGCAGAGAAACAGTCCCAAAGCATAATGTTCCCACCTCTGTGTTTGACTGTAGGGATGGTGTTCTTAAGGTCATAATCAGCATTTTTTTCTTGCTCCAAACACAGAGAGTCACAGAGAGCTCAATTTTGGTCTCAGCTGACCACAGCACTTTCTCCCAATCCTTCTCTGAATCATTTAGATGTTCACTGGCAAACTTCAGACGGGCCTGTAGATGTGCCTTCTTGAGGAGTGGGACCTTGCAGGTGCTGCAGGATTTCAATCCATGGTGGCGTACTGTTTTACCAATGGTTTGTTTGGTGTCTGTGGTCTGTCCAACTGCCTTGAGATCATTCACAAGCTCCTCCCATGTAGTTCTGGGCTGATCCCTAACTTTTCTCATGATCATCCTTACCCCATGAGGCAAAAATCTTGCAGGGAGCTCCAGACTGAGGGCAACTGATGGTTAGTTTGTTAGTTTATTTGTGAATAGCCACTCCAACAGTTGTCTCCTTCTCACCAAGCTTCTTGCTGATGGTCTTGTAGTCCATTCCAGCCTTGCGCAGGTCTACAGTCTTGTACCTGACTTCCTTTGACAGCTATTTGGTCTTGCCCATGGTGGTGAGGTTTGAATGGAACATAGAGAAACTCTGTGGACACGTGTCTTTTATACACATAACGAATTGTCGTTAGGAGCACCTTCTTAAATTGACAGGACTAATTTGGGCACCACATGAGCACATACCCAGTCTGTGGGAGCCAGAATTGTTGTTGGTTTATAGGGGATCAAATACTTACTTTACTTAGTGAAATGCAACTCAATTTATAACATTTGTATCTTGTGCTTTTTGGGGATTTTTTTGTTGATATTCTGTCTCTCTCCTTTAGAATAAACCTATCATAAAAATTATAGACCACTCATTTCTTTGTAAGTGGGCAAACCTACAAAATCAGCAGGGGATGAAATAATTATTTTCCCACTGTATGAGCAAATCAGAGTTAATATTAGAAACTAATGTTGTAATCAAGATCAAGACCGGGTTGTATTGAGACTTAAGGGCTTGAGACCGAATCAAAACCAAACCCAAAATCAGACCAGTGCAGTTAAACTGAATTTGATAGTAATAGATTAACATTAGTAAATATTCTTACCCATAAAAAAAATCTCCAAAATTATGCAAAAACTTACATGTTTTAGTATAATAAACAGGAGGTCCCTAATGACCGGTCTGAATTGGAATGTAGTCCTACACTATGTAAGAATTATTTAATATTTCCAGGTTATTTAATATTTTAGTAGTAGGCTTTCGATGTTACTATAGACGGCCCCTGCAGTGTTGTAGAACGTGACACCGGACTTGGTCTCGGTTTCAAGACCAATCTAAGAGCAAACTTGTGTACAGCTGAACTTTTGCATTATTTTAGGAAATTTTTAATGTCATCAATGAATTTTTTGTGTCATTAGTGTGACTGAAACACAGGTGAACCAGTGCTATCCAAATCAGTTTAACTACACTGGTCTGTTGTTCTTGGTCTTGACTCGGTCTCCAGCCCTTAAATCTTGGTCTTGTCTCAATCTCAGTACACCCTGGTCTTGGTCTTGATTACAACACTATTAGAAACTTAAGTAGACACATCTGGGAAACCTGAACAGTCTGACCAGTGTAATTAGCTGGAGAGAGATGTACTGTAGGAGAGGAAGAGGAGGACAACAACTGACATGCTGCTGTGGGCGAGTCAGCTAGTGCAAGGTCAGATGAAAAGCACAACAGCAAGAACAAAGACAATAGTATTACTGTATTTAATAATAATAATAAATTATGAATCCCACCCAAGTTACTGACACAAGTAGAATCTAATTCAGTGGGAAACACTGATATCAATTTTGCATATACACAGATACAGCAATACCACATTTTAAACCATACGGCCCAGTCCCCACCCCTAGCAAATGGCAAGTGCAGTTACTGATCAAGGTACATTTCGATTCTTAATACTAAGTTGAAATTTATATTGAATCTATGTATATAACAAAATTATGCTTGTTTACCGAAAGCGTGGTCCTCCACGTAGTCCTTGTCCTGGCCCTGGCCCATTCCACATGTCTGTAGTCAGTATCTTTTCTGGAAGCAAAGTTAAAGATTTGGATCATTTTATGAAGGCAAGTGAATTCACCACTTTTGACTTGGTACATCCATCATAGTAAAACTAAACAGTGAAGTGACTTTGCACAATTAAACTTATTAGAATTCTGCAGGCAGAACCACATAAATGCAAGTTTATTTATATAGCACATTTCATACACAAAGGCAATTCAAAATACTTAACACAATGCAGACCGATGGATAAAACATTAAAATACATACAAAAGGCAAACAGAAAGAAAACATTAAAATGCATATATAGACAAATCAGAACGCAAATAAAATAATATTACTTGAAAGCATCAATTACATGACAGCACAAATAACAACATGCGTGAATGGATACCTAGTATTCTTAGTATAACAGTGATGAATTACATGTTGGCAAGTGTGTTATTTCTACAAAGTACTACAGTGCCTTAAAAGATGGCTCCATACGTCAAACCTAAGACAAGTAACATTGAGTAGTGTGGTTGCTATTGTTGGCTCCAAGAGTAGCCTGCTAATTATAGCATCACCAGGCCTGAGTAAACTACGCCACAACATAAACAAGTCATTTGTATTTTATAAATGACTGCACTGCTATAACCAAACGCAGTCAAAGAGCGGTAGTTTTTTTTTGACAATGGCAAAGTTAGCATCTTTAAATCAGCGAGCACACCGCGACTATAACCAACGGCGATATTCAAAACGTAATGCTATAAGAGCTAACGCGACTTGGCTAGCATTAACGCTAAGAAATTGGTTTATCTGCGTTAGCTTACAACTAGTTCGTTCATTACAAAACGTGTCACAGACTATGAATCTCAGTATTTTTGCGCACATATTATTTATTTGTGACTCACTTTGCCTATACTCCCAACTCAGTATCGATATTGCAGGCGGTCTTTGATTAGCTGATGGTCGATGGCTTCCACCAAGTGATCAAAAAATGGAGACCAACGTTTTTCTTCTTCTACTGCTGCAATGGAGAGGAATCATCTTCTTCGTTTTATTTCGACGTACATGAAGCTGTAGAATGAATTACTGCCACTTAGTGGTGAATAAACCACTGTCATATTCGATTTTAATCAAGGGTAAGCCTTAATATACAGTGACATAGAGGCAAATAGCAGCAGCACCTGGGCCAAAACACCAGCCATCCAGCAAAACTGTGTGGCTCCTGATAAACCTATGAAAAGTAAAACGTTCATAGTTTTATTAACATTTTTGCACAACTTGTCAGAAATCTGATGTAGACAACAAACATGAACTTGTTACAACAAATAATTGACATCTCAAATAGACTACAAATAGTTAATAGTCAAATGGCATAAGCTAAATCTATATTTCTTTCCTAAAACAAAAACAGGTCAGGTTGTTTATTGTAGATTATTGTGTGTATTACCAGTCATAGCTCAAGGCAAAGCATGCTAGAGTAAACTTTAGCCAAATGAGTTTTAACATATGCAGTTATAACACCGTTAGCACTAAGAAAAAATACCTTTGGCCTCAGATACAAACTTAAAACAACTTGTTTTATAAATCTGATTCATTTATAAAATACCTTAAAAAAAATAAACAACATATTGGGCTGCATCTCCACCTCACCTGTAAATATGTCTAATTTGTCTGAAAAGCTAAATCAAAATCTTGCAGTCATAACAGAGATTAACCTTATTAAATGGAAATATCTGTAAATGTGTTGTTGTTCACTCTTTGTTAGCAAACAATAAATACCCCAAATCTTGGTCTTATGTTATCTAACAGTGACATATGTACAGTAATTTTGAGTATTCAAATGTTAAACTTTTTTTTTTAAAGCATCTATGTTGAATATTGAAAAATGTTTTCTAAATACTGAAAAAGTATAATAAACTATATACTGTAAGTTAAAGTATATAAATATATACACATTTTAAATATAAGACACATATAAAACTACATTCAGCTATTCTAAAATGGTTATAGTTGTTTGCAAGTTTTTGCAATAAAGAGTTGGATAAAATTTAAAAGGTGTTTGGTGACGGGGCTGATTGAAAACAGTTTCAGCAATATTAGCATTGCACATTTTATTCATTCACAAGCATTGTAGCAACCCATTAGCTCAGCTACGTGTTGCTAAATACACATATAAATTTAAAAAATACACATATACAAGGCAAATATACATAGTGAAACAGTATATGGACTCAGCTATAAACTATGAATTCACTAATTATATGTGACACCACAACAACAGCTAAAACATCACCCCAATCTAGTTTTCTGTTTTAAATGAAGTGCGAAGAGGACAGAACACGAGAATCAGCAGCACTAAGACTAAACAGAAGAGCAAAGAAAACAGCTAAAGCGTTTATGTAAAATCAGTAAGCAATCAAGTTGTTGTCAGCACATTACTGCAAAAAAATATTAAGGCACTTGAACTTAAAAATATGCTCTTGTTCTGCCTTAAAATCCTAAGTTGTCTGATGTTGCACTGCACCAAAGCTACTAACGGTGACCACGATCTGATCATAGTCTTTCATTCTAAAATATTTTAAGCACAGTGCTCAAATCTTCAGCATGGGTAAAATAATTTGCAGTTTTATTTTGCAGTCACAAATTGACTTTTGAGACATTCAAAATATACATGACAAGTAATATAATTCCCTGTCTGTATTACAATTTAAAGCATTTGAGACATTAGTTTACTTAAATACTTAAAGGATTCCTATAAATGTAACTTTATTTAAATAAATGTTTATATTTTCACTTTACTTGAATCTTTGATTCTTCAACTTGTAATTTTAAGTCACAAGACATGAGCTTAGCTGAAAACTAGCAACTTGTTGAAACAGACAAATACATCTATATACAGTGAGCTGTTGAATATAGTTGAGTTGATTTCACAAAATTACACTATGAGTTTTTACAGTTGTTAGAGAAAAGGAAACAACAGAAGAGCTACTTTGCAACTAGCTTTAAAGGGACTTGTACACAAACTAACAAGGGAGAACACTATTCAATAGACTGGTCAGTACACAAGGCAAAAAAAATGTTGTGAAATAATTCTGGAAACAGGGGGACAGTCAAACAGCACAGACACGGTATCATCATGCCAAATGTATTGGCTGTACTGCACATGTGCTTGTTGGTTGGCAAGGGTCCTCTTCTTGAATTTGACTGACTCCTAATCCCCCTTTGTTTGAGGCAACATTTGGGGAACATCGCCATTGCACCGTACCTGAGGCTGCTCTTCCTGCCTGGCTGCACTGGGCAGTGAGGGTGCAGAGATGGAGGCAGTCTGTGTGTCAGGAGCCTTTTCACTAAGAGCAGCTTTAATGCTTGCAGCAACACCATCACCGCCGCCAGCTGAAGGAGCAGGAGTGCCACTGGGTGTATTGGGGTCAGCTGTACCCCCTGCAGCAAGACTAGAAGCCCCAGAATCACCCTGATCAGATGCTCGAAGTCTCTTCATGAGGGTAGTCACTCTTACAGCTTTCTGTGAGTAATAGAAAGATAAAGTCAGTTTGAACAAACTTTACTAACTGATCCTGTCAGTGAAATATGGTCAGCACAAAAAATATGAGGGTGAATACTCAGAGTAAGGCCTCTGGATAAAATGTGTTAGCTATGACAGTTTTGATTTATATTTTTGAGGGTGAGCATCCAGTTTCTCTGTCTGGAGTGCCCATTTTCTGACTTTTTTAAAATAAAAAAAAAACAGGATTAAACAGGAAAAAAGCACCAACAGTATACAAATATATAAAATAAATTTTGAACACAGTTTAAAGCAGCAGTGTGGAAGAACTGCAGGAAAGTATAGACATGTGATTGACAATCTCAACGTGACCATTACCTTCCACTTAGCTTTGGCAAAATTCTTTTCTATTTGTGCACAAACGCCATCCTTGATGTTCTTGTCAGAGGCAGCATTTCCAGAGATCCTATGAGAAGGAACATGAAGACTTATCAGATTTGTGGTTATGTACTATAAGAAGGCACATAACTTAGGTTGTGTTGGTGAGAGCATTTATATTTGATCATCATTACCATTCATGGGCTATAGCTTCCTGTGCAGTCAGTCTCTGATCTTGGTCCACTTCCATCAGAGATGCCACTAAGTTTTTGGCTGCAAAACACATGAAAATTATAACAAAGTATGATAACAGCGAAGTTGCGCTTGCAATATCAGACCCTGGATACATAAACGGAGACATTCATAATACAATTATATTGATACACAGTACATTTTAACCAATTGATTGACTGTGTCTTACCAGAATCTGAAATGTCGTCCCAATATGGTGAATCGAATTCATAGTCCCCTGACAAAATCTTTAGGAAAAGGTTCTTATCACGATTGTCAGAGTCATCTTCGTCTGCATCATCATAGAAAGGGGGGTTCCCAGATAAACTGTTCAGTTGACAAAATAAGAACATGATAGGCCATAACATATCACCTAAATACATAAGAAACATATCAAAATAGTATATTTGTGAGCACATTCTGGGTACTTACAGTATATACATGATGACTCCTATGGCCCAACAGTCCACAGGTCTCCCATATCTCATCCTCCCAACCACCTCAGGAGCTGAAAGCAAGAACAAGCTTTAAGCATCTTGATGATATGATGTAGTTTTAGACTAAGTAACCAAGATTTGCTCATATTGTATAATTACACACCTGTCAAATTAGCTTATTTATATTACTGATCTACATTCAGGTGTTAAGCTTACCAAGATATTCTGGAGTCCCACACGGATCCTTAATGAGTCCATTTTCTAATTTTGCCAATTGGAAGTCACTGATAACAATTTTGGAGTGCTTCAGACGATTAAAGTACACCAAGTTCTCCAGCTGTGTAAGCAAACAATAAAAGCTTTACCAGACTGGAAAGGATATGATCTGAATGTGTGGTATTTCATGCTTGTAGCCAAAAGGGCAGTCACTGGCCCATGGTGAAATGCTGCTGTTTCACACTAGGTGTCAGCAGTATACTGTACCTTCAGGTTTCTGTGGACAATTTTCAGAGAGTGCAGGTAAGCAACAGCTTCGAGCACCTGCCTCATAACATTACTGGTGTCCCTCTCCGAATAGTAACCTTGATCTAAGATCCAGTCGAAAACCTCTCTGCCTGTGGCGCTGAAGAGACAGGACAGCCAAATTAAAAAACACATCACTTGTTGATGACAGAAATGTAAAACATTTTCACCTGTTGAATAAAACATTTGTTTTATGAGCTGAACAAGTGCAGCGCATACCAGTCTGTGCCAAATGTGCCTCTAATAATACTCACAGCTCCAGAAAAATGAAGTACTCTTTCTTAGTTTCAAAGGCATCAACCAGCTGGAGGATGTTATGATGTTTGACCCTATGAAAATCAGGAAAAGAGGCAAAGGAGTAATAGGAGGAGGAGAATGGTGGATATAAGTAGGGTGAAAATGAGCAATAAATAGATTCAGTAAATGGTGCAAGTTTTTTTTAACCCAACATTCAAGATATTTAAGCAGAAATAAATAACTAATAATTTCACCAGACAGTTGAAAAGTACAATATTGCTTAATCTTTGTGAAGTGAAATTTTAAAACCCAGTTGACTTGGTCCAGATTTCTCTTGGTCATATTCTGGTCTCCTAGTAAAATAATAACAACATCAAAATGTGCCTTCAGAATCAATATTTGTTAGTAAGATAAAGTCGTTGGTTTTGGTATTTTCATCAGATTTGTCCTAAACTAATCTAAACTATTATTAGACTGATCATTAAAGAAGAGTGAAACACAGACGCTTGTTTGAAAAAAAAAAAATACAGGAGCTAAAACCTAAAAAAGCCTAACGAAAAGCTCAAAGTTTCATTTACATTTTTAAGATCATGATCTCATTCTTGGCAGCTTTCCTCACTTTCCTTCCATCCTTCTTATGGAACTTTTTACAGGTGTACATTTTCAAGGTGTTCCTATCCTTCGCTCGGAATATCTCACAAAACTCCTCTCTGTGAAACACAGAAAAAAAACATGCATCATATTCTGAGCAACTTCCTTGAAAGATTTTATGCCCTTATTATACAGCATAATATTAGAACATGGATATACTCACGATTTAACAATTTGTCCAAGGTCATATTTATCGGTCACCTCTGAGGGGCTGTTGTAATCCTTCTTCACCCCGAGGGTCAGACAACCAAATGGCATGGCAGCTTGTGCCCTAGCCAGGGAATGTCCTGCCACAACACAACCTGTCAACAATATGCAACATTTTAGATTTGCCCATGGGATCATTTTGTTAGAGGAACACACACACGTCTACACTAAAACGTGGATCTGAATAAAAGTGAGCACCCTGAATCATAAATATATATATCTGGTGCTGTGGTCTAATTAACGACTAACATAAAACCATATTGCTGAAAATACTGTTGTAAAAATCACTGTACAAATTGCTTTACTGAGAAATAATGACAGAAATAGAACAAATTGCTGTTCAGTGATGGCACTTAACACAAAACAAATGCAGTAAATCGATGCACATATTTGAAGGGAGCGGTTTGGGCACGATTTATCTGAAACCTTTTGGTTACACTGCTGAGAAGTGCAATTGTGCTTGAGAAAGCAAATGATCTCCAATCAACACAAGAGCAATACAACATAAAAAACTGATTTTCTAATTACATAATCTTCTTCACTGAATGCTGTCAGACTCCCAGGAAGGTTTCTTTCCACTCTGCAGTGAGCTCTGTGCTGCTCCTGCTGCTGCTGCAGTAGCAGCATTATTCATCAGTCTGCTTAAAGAATATTCAGATGGACTTGACCCTGTGTTTCTCTACAACTTTTGTTGCCTTCCTTTACGTGTATTATGAAAGACTCTTGAAGAGAATGCTATTACCTCACCAGCTCTGGAGAAACAAATATAGAAGAGTTTTGGACTCTCATCATAACTGTCCTGCTCATTTCAGTATTAACCACAACACACTATACAGCCACAGATGAATGGAACAGTGTAAATAGTAATTCCAGACAAATTCATAAAATCTCATATCATCATATCACCCAACCTATACATACCAGCCAGTGTCTGCTGACCAAGATAACACAACTGCATAGTTACAAAACACACTGAAACTTCAGTAGAAATCAGTGTACACAGAAAAACATTTCTAGCAGTAGGCAACAAAAAGCCCAATAAATGAAATCCACCAACATGAGGTCTTCTAACACATTTCTGTGCCAATTTCACAGCCTGGCTACATTAACCCTGCTGCTTTTTTTATCATGAAATCTTAAGCACATGGACATAGGGTGATCTAACGCTGGATGATTTGCTATTGCATGTTTTTCTGAGTAACAAACCTCTCAGCGTTGCATTTTATGTTGTTTGAATTATACCATATGTCTACTCTGTTTAGAGACTTTCTGACTTGTGTTTTTATTAAAAGCAGCAAAAAAGGAAAAGCAGTTAGACCCTTTGTTGCAACTAACTGCAGAACTGGAATTACATAAATACATCTTTAAATGAGGGTGACTACTTGAACCAAAGAATACTATACAAGCCCTCCAATAGCAGCTAAATATTACTGCTGACATGGGAGGCTTGTATGGAAAACAGACTCAATTTTTGGCAGGCCCTACAGTAGAAACAGCAGCAAGCACAGAAGGGTGGGAGTAGAGAAATTCTGACTGTGGTGCTGTCTGGAGCCTTAGTTGAGACCCTATCAGAGGCGAAGATTTCTCCCGGCTATAGCATCCAGTAAAATCTGTCGTACAACAATGAGTCAAATAAACATAAAAACTGAGCCTGAAAGATGCCCATGTTTAGAGGGTCGCTCTATGAATAAGCTTTTTACTGTTTATTACAAACAAGCAGGATGTAGTTCAAGAGAGAGCCCTTTAGCTGAAGACAGGCTGTGTATAAAGTGTGCTACTGTCCACAAGGGAGCTCATTACTCTATGATCCAGTCACCACAGATCTGTAAAGCTGATATAAAAAATGATATGTAAAATATCTGGTTTTAGAGAATATGTTTCCTCAGAAGTCCCCTATTTTAACATGTTTATTGATACTTATTTTGTACTTCTTATTTATCTTTAATCCATACATCCCAAGATCTAAACAAATCCATTTCCAATTTTTTGATCCAACTGGATACAGTCCTGCACAGTACATTAACAGGGCATTGAAGAAGCAGTGCTCCAATGTTGCCAGTCTCCTTCTTTGGTTCATTTTGTAGAAACAAATAGTGGGTACTTAAAAAAAAATGTGATAAAGGCACATATCATTTTCAATCCTTTTATATTGTTATTAATTTTTTACACTGAATTAATAATTATAAATAACAACACAACTGGTTGGATTCTGGCTTGAGACCTTTGTTACATGTCATATCATATCAAATAAAGACAAGAACTGCAAAAAAAATAAAATAAAAGAAGAAAATATGCACCAAAACTGCACTTAATATATGAACATACTAGTCAGTAATGGTATTAAAGACTTCTACTTTATGCCTACTTTAGCCTCAGTATCGTCACAGAAAATCATTTAACCCTGATTTACTCTTTCCTATAGGACAAATACCAACACAAATTGATTCACCCTTATTAGCAATGAATCACTGAAGCAAAGTAACAACAGCTGGTGTTTTAGTGACACTGATATAGCAGCTAAACTGTACGACACTGAAAGCACAAATTACCAACATTTCTAAGTCACTATTACTTCATGCAGTAAACCTCAACATTTGCTTTAATTTTGTTTAAGTGCATTTGGACATCAAATATCTTCTATTCTACCAGTATTTTTTTGCTGCTTAAGTCCATCCCAGATGAGAAATTTACTCAGGGATGTTTCTCTGGAGTGAGTTATTAAAGGAGATGGAGAATGTCAGCTATGCGAACACAGAGCCCATCTCTTACTGCAGCACTGTAGCCTCAGCAGTTACATGTTTGCCATTTTCCTGATCAAAATGCAGCATAAAATAACATGTGCCTTTCTTTATCCTAGAGGCTAGGGCTATTAGTTCTCCATTAGTCTCAAGTGTGATGAGCATTTGGATGATATACTCCAGCTAAATCACATCCTCGGTATGAATCCTGCAAGAACAATGCCCAGACTCACGATTAGTATTTTCTGGCTGTTGCCTACAGTGGATTCACAAAACTGCATACGTGCCTCAATCCTGTGCCTCAACGCTCATTCAGACCATTACGAGCACACACAGACACATTTCATTATTTCCTTTATCTCATCTCTAACCACCTCCATTATGTTTTTTGCAAGATGGCTTCAGTGAACACACATCCTCAGATTTGTGGACACTTTTGAAAGGCTTTATCAAAATCTTTCATTGAGCACATTATTTACAAAACTAGGCTGAAAATGTATTAAGCCACGACTGACAAAAGTCTCAAGCGAATAGTATTGAATAAATAAATGCAAAATGGCATTCTTAGTGGCCTCTGCTTCTTGAAATAACAACACCACCAATTGTCCCCTCACATAAACAAACAATACCATGCATGCCAAACGGAGTTTGGCCAATGTGAGACCACTTGATGCGGCTATTAGACCTCATAGTAAATAATACATATGGACCCCTGTACCTGTCCGTGGAAGCTTGACTCAGTACCATAGTGCACCAAACACAAAACATTAAATATGATGAAGCCAGAATCTTGTGCGCACTTGGTTTTCCCTCTTTCAAAGCCATCTTGCAGATAAAAGGCTGCTCTCCTTCACTAGGAGGAGAAAAACAAAGGCACTCGAATACTGCTAAATCAGAGGATTTTTATCTTTGTCTTTTGAAAGGTCTGAATTCTTCATTAGTGGGAATTTAAATGCTATTTTATATTCAGACGGTGGCAGAGCTCTACACCAAGAAAACCTAACTGTGGATACCCTTGGGAGATAATGACAAAAGCAGAACTTTAAATCTGCATCCAATTAATTTTCCAGTTACATAAAGGAGGCAAAGGTAAAACTTAATTTAGATTCTTTTGTTTTTAAGTACAGCCATAACTATAAGCCAAACAGTCATACTGAAGAAATTTGCAACTGCATGATTTCCTCAACATGTCAGTAATATAGTTTTTAAAACGATTTACTCAGTAATAACTAATTCTGTAGTTCACTGGGTATAATGTCTTTTGTTATTTGGGAGCATTCACGGTTGAACAGATCTAGACGTGTCTGGGGAAAGGGCATCTGCAGTGGCAGTATTTTATACACTGCCATGGGTTCAAATCAGCACAACAGAGCCACATTCATAACAACAAACTAAAGAGCAATATATGTGCAGCTCTGTCTTTTTGATTTGTTGAATCTTTGTTGTTCATTAGCTGAAGTTAATATGACTGAGAAAATATTCATAGAAAGTTCCTGTAATGCTATGTTAACAGCAAATATTAATATCAATGTATTACTGAGTAAGGGCCTGTGATTTGGGGCTATAGAAATTAAATTGACTGCAGGGTTATAAGCCTGTCAGCTCATCAGGCCTGTCTTGTCTCCTTATTAAGGATGGGAAATAAATTACACTATTAAGTCCCCAAGGCCCTGACAGTTTCATATGATATTAGATTATGATTTCACACCAGGTACCAGAGTATTACGCTGGGCAAAGGGCCTTTAAAGACTTTGAGATTATGGACATTAAAATCACTGGGCAAATATTGTATGTCTAGCCCTCATTCATTCATTTATCTAACCACCTGTATGTTTAAGTGCGATATCTCAGGTGACATCTTAGCCAAGCACAACAGGAAAAATTTGGAAGAATAATAACGAAAGATGGATAATGTGTCTTCACACTATGTTCCAGCTGTCATATAGCTATACTGACTAGCCTCGGGGGAAAAGTTATCATTAAAAAAGATGCATTAAACTCTACCAGGCACTGCTGATTCAGCTCTGAGACAAGTTGAAGGAACTAGGCATCTCTGCATCATGTTCTAATCATGCTGACCTGATTCTGACAAAACTTTAGATTACAGAATTATGCATTTGGGGACTATATCATGGCAGTTAAAAATCTGATGAAATAAATCAGATTAAAACTGTTTAACTGTATAACTTTAACGGTTTCACCCAATTAACCTTGGAAATTACAATAAATGTCCTACTAGGGTGTCAGATTTAGAGGTGAAATGTTCAACTTAGCAGTGCTCTAGCTGTTTAAGCGTTACAGTGACTGGTCAAAGTGGAATATAAAATTAGAGGTAAAACGTTTTTGTGTTCTGGCATTCAGTATTCAATACACGCTGGCCTAACTGAGATGTTAAATGTAATTTCACATTAGAAATGAACTCAGAACTTGGTGGCATAATTCAGCTGCCATATTCATGTGTGAAATAACTGAGCTCATGTCCAGCAAGTGAGGATTTCTTAAATATAATTAATTATTTCACCAAAATTTGATTCGACGCATTTCACTCTAACATCATCAGACTGTGCTCTAACACATAAGCGATACATCTGCTGAGTCATGTTCACCAGCTGAGACGAACAGTTTTTAAGATGTTTGCTGATTTCTCAGGGAGATGCTGCATCATTTTTATGGATACTGTTTACTGCTGCATTGTTGCAATTTATTGTAGCTTCTACTAAAAGTGTTCGATGGGAAGTAGTGTATGTGTGTGTAGATTCAGTCTTCTGATTGCAGGTTAGGGGCACTGGGAACCATAATCCATTTCAGTTTCGATGCCTTGTTAAATCACCGGATGAAGATGTGGCCAGAACAGTAGACATTCTGTGGGTTGTTTTTTCCTCTAAAGTTTGAGTACTACTTTTCATAAGCATGGCAACACATGTTCTTTTCGTAAAATAAATATGTTTGTTGTTGCTATTTTAAAACTTAGGTTTGTCGGTCAAAGTCATGTCATTGAGTGGCGGCAGGAGAACGTGGTTCTGGCCACAGCTGAGCCTCTTCAAAGAGAAAGGCTTAGTGATGCGGGCAGATGGTGGAGATGATGGTTGAGCCAAATTTGAGATCCTGTAATGCCTCATTTAAGATGTAAATGTCACTCTTGTGAGCTATGAACACAAAGAGCACATTTACACTTCTCTGTTTTCAAAGACATTATATTAGAAATGAACAGAAGAAACAAACAAACACATAAATAAAACTACTAGTCCATGAAATTTAGATAAGTATGATTCAGTCCTCTTTTGTGCATGGCTCTGTTAAGCATGGAGACTATACCATTCATCTCTTATTCAGGCATCACTCGTCCATCTGACCAGTTTCTTCTGATGTTGTTTGTTGCCATGGTTACCACAGGCTACAGTATGCACCATGATAGTACTGCCTGCACAGATTAGCTTTCTGCATACTCATCTACATTACAGCCCTAGACCGCTGCCACTGCATGTGTCTGAAACTCAGCTCACTCATCTTGAATTCAGTTTGCAAAACAAAACCCCCCAGAAAGAGATCAATCAAGGGGATAAAGAGGGGAAGAGAAAAAATAAACACCTGTAAAGAGTGACGGTGCGTGCCTGTATTCCAGGACAGCATTGTAGCAGCACTGCAAATTTTCTTTCACAATGTATTTTTCAATTTGTTTATTTAATAAACTAAAGATATGCTTCATTTATAAATGCATCCATTTATAATTAAACCATATATATATGTATATTTCTAATTGTATCATCTTATGTCATACTGTAGCATAAACCCTCTACAAAGTGTTTTCTGTTCTTAGTCTGTGCCAACACAAGATCCATTTTCATTGCACCATACAAATCTCTTCTTTTCTGACTCAAACCACCTGGCTGTGTAGCAGGGCTTCCCAAACTTTGTGTGCACAATTTACATACTGTATATAGAAGGCTACTTATCAGTTTGATCAAATCAGATTTTCCCAAGGCTGAAATGAAAGCTACACAATACTGGAACCCTGACACACCTGTGAAACTTTCTTTTATGATTTAGACACTTTCACTCCACTTCTGACGTGTCAAAGCCCTTGCCCTCCCTCTGGGGTATTTGAAGTGGTGGCTTGAGCATTACTGAGCGAGTGGGTATTGCAATCACAAGCTCGTTGGGTGTGAAATGATGACAAATAATGACAAGGAGGCAGGGACACCGTGAGACTGTGAGACTGAAAATGTGAAATCAAAAAGTGCTGCAGTCTGAGTGCATCAAGAGCATGCCTTATGTAAATCTGAAGCGCAGTTTGAGCAAGTCTTTGTGAGATGCAGTCATTACGAATTTACTTGTTGAGCTGCTAATACTGAGTAGAACGAGCGAAGTATAAGACCAAAATAGGTTCCACCGATTATATCCTGAAAACGTACTGACAACCTCACTGCTCAAGCATCTTGACAGTTTAAATATACTGTAAATATACTGCAGCATCACCGGTGATGCTGCAGCTGAACAGATCGTCTGAGAACTGTCCTCACGCCAGCAGCAAAATGGCAAAAGTTTTCGTAACAAATTTTGTCTTCCGTTTTCAGAATGATATATGGTCAAAGTGGAAAGTTACCGGATGAATACATCTCGGAGAACATTCCTCAGCTGTCTTCACCTCTCGCGTTTTTGACAGCAGTGGTTTGTAATCCTTTGACGGTATAAGCAAAAATTACGCAAATTGCGCTCACTTACCTTCAAGTAAACTGGTAATGCACAACAATCCAATCCTCTGTCTATTATTTGAGTATTTCCCTGGTGCGGTTTCACTTTTCTTTGGATGATTCCACACCGATTTTACAGCCAGTAAGCTATCAGAGAGATTTAAGATCTTCCAGCATTTCCAACAAGTCAGGGAGTAACGGCGGGCTATGATGCAGGAAGGAGGGGAGGTGCGCGCCCGCGCGTGCCATTACCACTATAATCAGTGTGTGTCTGTGTGTGTGTGTGTGTGTGTGTGCGTACATGCATCAGTGCAGCAAATCATTTTTAGGACTGTTAGTGAATGGAACTGATGATGTCCGCACTCCTCAGCTGGAGACTGCATGCCTGTTGCCCCCCCACTAAAACCAGAGTCAGAAGATTTTTTCCCCAAAGTCCCTTTGGAAGTTGCTGCCACTTCTGAAAGACTATCTCCCCAGATCTGAAAAAAAAACAACCCCTTCCCTGCACACTCACGCACTCATCTTTGATTTCCTCCTGAGGAGAACACAGCATGTTTACTGGTTTTCAACATCAGTTGTGGTGATCGATTTAAAATTAACCTTTTCTTCCACTTTATAGTTCAGATTTTTTTAAAATGTATTTACTGACAGCAGGTGAGAGGCAATATGGTACCAGCCATGAATTTTCATGAACTTACAGGTATTAACAAGCAATTGGTGGTAGAATGATCTGTGGATTTCTCCGCACAGTATAGCCTGCTGTGAAATCCAACTTGACTCCCAGCTGATGCAGACCTCTTCAAAGTATGAAACGCCAACTCAGGAAGAGGTGAAAACAAAACAGTGTTCGACTGAGACAAAGCTTGAATGAACCAAAAAGGACTCAATCATTTGCCTGTCCTACTGTGGTCAATAGCAATAATGCTGGGCTATTGTCCTAAACAGTTACCTCAGAGTCTTTTTTGTTTATGGTGTTCACACACAGTCTGTGATGGATTTAAACAAGTTCAAGTCTCTGTTAGTTGAGTTTTGTGAAAGGTCTGTTTGGAGAGTTTAAAAATGCATTTCCAAAGCATCTATGAACTTCTTTTTTTTCTGTTACCTTCAGAGTTGATATCTGACATAAAAATGGACCAGAGGCTGGTCCCCACAAGGAAAACAAGTGTGGCCAAACAAGAAAATCTTTCCTGTTTACTGGGACTTCTATGTATATACAAAGAAGAAGCTGATCTGACCATTGGTCATACTTTGCAGTTACAGTATAGAGCAGCTCTGCAGGGAGTTTAGCTGGTAGGCAGACTCTGTAGCACTGGCTTATGTAACAGGAGTGTCTCTTTCCTAAAATGAGCAAAACTGCTCAAAGGCCACTGGGACAATAGGAAAGAGAACAGTGGAGCATCTTTAACCCGCTCCCCACCTACCCACAAAACCACCTACTCTCTCTTTTTTTCTAACTCTCAGTATCACATGGCTCTCTAGAGTGCGGGTATCACAAATCTGAGTCTCGAAGTCTCTTATATCACTGCCACTATTTTATAGGTTTATGGATGTTTGTTATCTGCCTCAAATACTCCACTGCAGGAGGCAGTCAATCATTTTTATGTCACCTGTGAAGGCTTAAGTCTAAAAGAGTGTTCTAGACATTAATCTAATATACAAAACCTGGATTTTATTGGAGAAAGGCAACTTTTTCAAGCTAAAAGTACACTTGGAATATAAATATAACTTCCATGACACAGTAGCAAGCAGTCAGCAGTGAGGAGGTGGAAGCTGTGTTAAAGCTCAGGTACACCTTAGAGTTGAATATTCTTCAGATAAAAGGTGAGGAATCGCTGTTTAAGGAGTGTCTGAGAAACAAAATGTATAGAACATGACAGCATTAGCATGACTGTCTTGTCAAAGCACTCAAGGAGACTGATTGATGGCTGCTTCATCTGTGCACATGTACACTGAGTCTACATTATGCACAAAATGGCTTAACTCCAAACTTCTCATGACACAATGGTTGAATTGTTGTGGACATCCACCATTCTGGTGCACTGTCGCCATAGCAACAGCATCTTAAGGGATATGTATATTGCTGTGTTTGGAGTCATTTTAAAGAAGCCAGAATATATTTAAATCATCTTTTGAGGATCATTTTCAATTTTGTGACACTCCAGGTTTTTAATAATATGATAATAATTATTAAATTTAAATTAACATACTATAGATTTGGTGCCATAAATATTTCATTTTTAACTAAGTCTTGTAGACTAACTTTGTATCTACTATATAGGCCCATCCATGACCTTTGACCCAGACTACACAGTGCTGGGTCTTCTGTCGCTATTTTTTAGATACAGATATTCTGTTTATCTCAGCATTTGAAGCTGTACCATGAAATCAATTTAAATGGTCACAGTCATTTACACTGTTGGAAAGTGCAACAGTGAAAAAGTCAATGCAGCTGTCAGACTAATGTGAAACTGGCCAGTTCTCTGTAGCTGCTTGGGTGATGCAGTTTGTATATCACCCACTATTGATCACCTTTTTTTTTTTTTTACTTGAATTAAGGTTCAAATGTCTCATAAAATGGATATTCTCATTTCCTCCCAACAAAAACAACACCTCCAATACCCCATGCAGCATATTCCCTAATGTGATTTATATCAATTCACAAGAAGATTATTTAGTCTGTCACAGTAGAGGCATACGCAAAAGGTAGAATCTGCGTCATAGAGCATGCAGGCAGTACCTCACTGTGCTTTTCTGAAACTACTCAGTGTTCTGCTCATCCTTATGTTACCATGGCTGCATCTAGTTAATCCAACCTTTGTAAGTCTATGAATGGACTCGAAAGACTGCTTCACAGTTTCTGCATGTTTTGTCTGCTTGTGTTCTATTCTGTATCTGAAATCCCTTACACTTTCTTCACTGAGGAATTTTAAATAAAGAATACAGGCTATGTTGAGCATGTAACAGTGAGAAACAATGGCACAAATACCAACATTAACATATAGGAGTTTGCAGTACTTCTATACATCATTTTAGATGTAGACCTGATTGATTCTGTTAGGCAGATACTGTCAGTATGCAGTGTTCATGTGTAAATAGAGGGTCTTTAATGTATTTAAAAATACAGGCCATAAGTAAACTTGCCCACCCAATAAACAATGGAGATGTAGGAAAAATAAAATGATAAATTAAAAACAAAACTCACTGTGAAGAAGTACTGTATTTAACATAATGCAGCTTCCCTTGCTGTAAAAATATTCTGTAAAAGTTTGTGTCTTGAAAAAAGATAGAACAATGCATGATATAGCTATCACTTATACATAAAAAGTAAATAATAATAATGTCCATTTACAGACAAATTTCTATTTCACAATTTTAAGAAAATGACATTTTTTCCAGTGCAGAATTGGCTCTGGGTTGATTTTCTGACCAAACAATTTTTTTTCTGCACAATCCTGTACTCATGCTTGTAAAAGATGAGTCAACTTATATTTCAACTTAGTTGTCATAGAAACCAAAACCAATAGTCATGGGGTCTGGAGAAAGGAACCTTTTGAAGGAACGGAGGAATGTTTCTCACAAGCTATGACAGCAGCTTCTGGAGACATTCAAAACATTTCCTAAGACTTTCCCAATTATATCATGTAAAAAAAAATCTTAAAGTAATAGATAGATGGATAGATAAATAAATAAATAAATAAAAAGGTTCATAGTGTAAGTGAATACATTTTACAGTAGCTTCTATGAGAAATCTGGGGTTATTTTCAGCTATGACAGGTGCTATATGAGAAGATATTTAATTAATAAACAGAATTTTGCTGCTCAGAAGGCCTTGTGGATTGTCTTCCCAACTTACAAAATGTTCAAAAATGTCTACGAAATCATCAATATACCTGTTTTTGTTTTGTTTTTTTTTTAGTTCAGGTGTCTTACATTTTAGTTTTGGGCATATTACTCTGAGAACAGGTACATGGAATCAGAGAGGACTAATCTGAACAATGTTGAATCAATTTTCAGTTATTTCTCTTAGAGCTCCATTGTTAAACCTAATTTTTGAATACACCTATGTTTATGCAGAAAAAAACCCTTTTATGATTCACCTAATACTGAGATTATTTCTTTGTAGGTTTTTTTAGCATCCTTACAAACATGCTGTATTTTACATTAAAATGAAAATGAAGCCCAGAAAATATAGTGATAATTGACAATGCTAACACTTGTGTCAGTGTTTAGCAAAGTCACATGTTTGCTTAAATTGTTCTTGAAGTGTTTTCTTATAAATTTCAAATTCAATATGCTGCATGTATACAGTGCTTCCAAAATAATTATTCCAGTTAAAGGGTCATTTCAGTTAAATTATAAAAATAATTTGACTCGTGCTATGTGGAGAGTTGGAGATGAACTTTTTAAACACACACACACACACACACACACACACCAAAGTAATAAAATATAAACAAAGCTTGGTCTTGAAGTGTGAATGAGCCCTTTAATGGCTAAATTATAGAGACAGTTGGAGAAGCCATGTGGACTTTGACTGGTTTTGCCTTCACACAGGGGAGGCACAGTGTCACAAATGATACCCTGATACCTCAAGTAGAACATTTGGTGCTCTTTGAGGTAACCATAGATACCACACCACAGCAAGACCGGATGTCCATACTGCTGATCAGCTTGTAACTGGTGGTGCATCTATGATTTCTGTGTCAGAGCCAGTGGCCTACAGTGAATGTCACTGGAGAGAAATTAGCTAAGTGTACACCATCAGCCCATATTAACCTATAACTCCAGCATTTAGTTTAAAGCCTCAGCATGTCAGTCGTGACAAGGTATAGTCTGGTGCATTTACTTATTACTGTAGGTCATGCACTTGAGGCAAAGCAACAACAATCAATAAATCATGTTTTTTAAAGGATTCAAATACTTATAATCACTGTAGTTTCTATGGCCATGTTGAAAGGCAATTTGTCTCAGATTTCTCCTGTGCTAATTCAGAGTTTATGAGCACTGCCTTTGGGTCTGTACCAGCATGTTCACAAACATGACTCCTTGTCCTAATTGCTTCAAGCTACAGCCAATGAAGCATTACACCTCATACACTGTCATGTATCCACAAGTTATTTAAAATTATATTTATGCAAAAATAATGATTGAATTTCTCCTGAGACACAACTTAGTTAACCTTTAAATGACAAAATGTGAATGTATTTAATTTTAGATAAATATAACACT